CCCGGGTCTCTCCCATCAGAGGGGCACCCCGGGTCTCTCCCATCAGAGGGGCACCCCGGGTCTCTCCCATCAGAGGGGCACCCCGGGTCTCTCCCCTTAGAGTGGCACCCAGGGTCTCTCCCATGAGAGGGGCACCCCAGGTCTCTCCCCTTAGAGGGGTACCTGAGTTTCTCCCATCAGAGAGGCACCCCAGGTCTCTCCCCTTAGAGGGGCACCCAGGGTCTCTCCCATGATAGGGGTACCCAAGTCTCTCCCATACGAGGGGCACCCCAGCTCTCTCCTGTCCAGGCCCTCAGGAGTTTAGAACCAGCACTGGGCGGGGGGGTGCAGTTGGGGGCTGAACAAAGCTGAGCGAGGCAGCTTGTTTCTTCACTTGATGGTTCTCTCAGTCAACAGCAAGGCTGAACAGGTGAGTATCGGTTTCTAAAATGCCACAGAACCAACATCTTTTGAAAGCCTCTGTCAACCAGCCCTTTCTTCTGCTACTTCTCTCATGTGGCTCTCACCATCTGGGCCTCACTTGTACCACTTTTAAAGAAACAGAATATAAAAATTTAAAGGTGGAAGGGCCCTTGAATGTCATCTCATTCAACCTTCTGTGATCCATCTAAAAGGACAAAGGAGGCTTGCTGGAGGCCAGGAAGCTCAGTCAACAGATAGAGCTGTCTGTGGACACCTTCCTGCCTCTAAATCGAGCCACTGTGGGCGCAGCTAAGGCACTGACAGGATAAACCTGAGTATTATTTCCTCTTTACAGCCACATCTGTAACATCCTGAGCCCTCCAAATTTAAGAGTAAATTTAGGCTAATCAAGCACTTGGTGTTACAATCAATCTAGAAAGAAAGCAAGACACGACCATAGGACTTCACGAACTGGAGAGGGGCTGCCCCTCCATCTGGTACAAGACAGAGGAGAAACTGCTGCTGCTGCTGACGGACAGACAGGTCTAAGACCGACATTTCATTAGAGATGTAACTTCCTAAACTAAGTGGCTGAATCAAACCCCTCTAGTGTTGAAACCCTGAAAAGCTGGTATCTAAAGAATGGTTTGTTAAACCCCCGTAAAAAAACCAAACCCGTTGCCATCGAGTCGGTTCCGACTCATAGCAACCCCATAGGACAGAGCAGAACTGCCCCGTAGGATTTCCGAGGAGTGGCTGGTGGATTCGAACTGCCAACCTTTTAGTTAGCAGCTGTAGCCCTTAACCACTGCACCACCAGGGTTTCCTATAGTTGCCCACAAACCACAGCAGCAAAATCAATGTGGACTGTAAATAATTACAGGACTTTACATTTTCCCCACAAGCATCTTGTAGATTTTTCCAAAATAATGTGACCTTTCACTGATACAAATTAAGTGTTTTAAAAAGAGAGAAAGTGCAAGTGATCTTCAACAAGCCCTAGCGGTGTAGACTGATCCTGTACTTACCACACACCCAGCCCTGAGCCTGGGCTGCTGTCACATCAGTGGTTTAAAGGTCCAAAAACAGTATTAAACACAGATTTTATTCTATTATAAAATATGTCTGAGAACTATTAGTCCAACACTAAACCAAAAACCAAACCCACTGCCACAGAGTCGATTCCCACTCATAGCAACCACACAGGGTTTCCGAGGCTGCAAATCTCTATGGAAGCAGACTGCCACATCTTTCTCCCACAGAGCCGCTGGTGGGTTCAAACTGCAGACCTTTTGGTTAGCAGTCGACTGCTTTAACCACTGCGCTACCACTAATATTCCATATTTCAGACAATTAAAATTAGAATCAGAGAGCCCCATGATCCAAAATTATGTCACCCATGTGTACCCTAAACACTACCAAGCACAGAGCCCCTCCCCCAGGGATCCTACATTGGAATGTGCATGGCTCACGGGGTGCGGGGGGCACGACAAGGACACCCAAAGACACTGCCACCACCACATTCCGATCTCACAGGAGATGTTCACTACTTTCTTCTTCACTACAATCTTTTCAAGTGATCGGAGGAGTTTTCATACTTTCTATTTCTTCACTTGACCACTGTGAGTGACACAGCAAAAATATTTTGTATCAAGTCTATTAAGTCTCCTTCAATGAAGCATTTAATCAAATTTCCTATTAACAGCCACCAGGGGGCATCCTCCTAACACAGAGAAGGAAGCCAAGCTAACAAAGAGCCAAGATGGTGCCCGCCACATTACAGGCAGTCCCCAGGTTATGAACAAGATCAGTTCCTGTGTCTTTAAGTCGAATCTGTAGGTGAGTTGGAACAGGTGCAGATGGCTCTTACTAAGCCTGACTTTAGTGCGAGAAGAGGCTCAAAGCCTTTTCAATGATTTTAAAGTTGCATGTGCAGCAAGTGAAGGTGACTGTGAAGAAGACTTTGTTGTGAGCAGGGACCGGTTCGAGGCCTGGTGGCACAGTGTTTAAAGCACTCAGCTGCCAACCAAAAGGTCAGTGGTTCCAACCCACCAGCCGGTCTGCGTGAGAAAGATGTGGCCATCTGCTTCTATAAAGATTTATAGCCTTGGAAACCCTGTGGGGAAATTCTACTCTGTCCTGTAGGGTCACTATGAGTCAGAACCAACTGGACGGCAACGGTTTGGTTTGGTTTGGTTAGAGCTTGGCTCAATCTCTTCAAAACAAGGGCAAATTTACATAACATTAAAGGGCAAGTTCAAGTTGTCAGTAAGCCAGACATTCGTAACCTGGGGACTGCCTGTATTTCAGAACCGTGGTCACCTTCTACTTGTGAGGACAGAATCCCTTTGACACGCAGATCCAGAGAATCCAGGGGAACTTCCATGTATCCCATGCTGTCTCCGGGTGCAGTCTGCTCTGTGCTTCCTGAAGATGATTTATACGCCTCAGAACCTGCATTCGAAATGCACACGGTAAGACACTGTGCGCTCCGAGAGCCAGGAGAGCCGTCACAAAGAGGCTGTGCACAAGGGCCGCGTGCACAGGAAGTTCTAATTAAGCAATGTGGAAAACAGACCGAAATACATGGCCATCTAGGCCACGACGGTTTCACTGTCATTTTCTTTCTTGTGTATCATTTTGCTAATCCTCCATCTCCACGTAATAGTCATGGGGGTAGGAGGTGGGGGTACTGGCACGTAGACGCATCTTTCCCTGACGCTACCAGCTGGACAAGCGGATCAAATAATTAAGGAGATACATAAAAACATGGTACTCATATGCTTTGTGAACATTATTTTTAAAGTAAAGCAGAAATCTCTGACTTGCAGATTTGAAAGGACAGCTAGGAAGCTGGTGTCAGTGAGAAGGACCACTCTCCTGCCCACGTGTCTGACACTAGGGCTCACCAAACAGACCGGACTGGAGGGAGGGCCTGGCCCATCACATACGCTGCTGCTTAAGTCTGTCACAGACAGCAAGAAGACCTGTACGTAAATAAGGCCGTCCACTGATTCAGAAGCTTGTCAACTAAAAGTTGCAAAGACTTCTGGGACCTCCTCCCTCTATCCATCAAAGGAAAAGTACGCAGTGGCAGCAGGCCAGCCCATCCAAACTGCCCCAAAGGGCAGAAAAAAGTTTCACAAAGCTGGGTCTTCTACTTGAGCATTTATAAGGGTGACAGCATTTCACTGAGGAAGCCAGGAAGAAGTGTGCATTTGCACAGGAAAATTGCTAACAGCAAAGGGCAAACACCCGTATGTCACTGCTAAGCACTGACATCAGTATTATTTCATGGCCAGAAAAAAATGAACCATGATACAGACATGTGGCACCTAAAGCCTGTCAGTTTATGCCATATTCTGCACCTAGGTCTTAGATAGGACAGTCAGCCACCTTTGAGAAATCATCACCATCAACTGGAAGAACACAATGAGCCTTTATGCAATTTTAAACACTTGAAATACAGAAAGAAAATTCAAACTCCCGTTGAATAAACATTCAAGCATGCATTTTACATATTATAGCCATAGATGACAAAGATGAAATCTCTACCTCAAAAACAAGTTTATTCTTTAATCTACAAATGTTTTCGTCAGCCAACAGTAGAAGCTACCTCAGTTTTATGTCAATGGGCAGTCCTTGATAAAGAGAAATGGATAGTAACTGAAGAGCAAGTGAGGGTCACAGGTATGCACACGGGCCTGGATGGGTCACCCACCTCAACACTGCCAACCACACCCCCAGAATCTGCACACAGGACTGCTGGTCACTAACCTTCCCACAGCCACTACATTTCAGGGGAGATTTCCACCCATGTCCATTTTAAGAAAGTTACTTCTAGATTATGGAGTCTAGATGAACAGCTAAAATAAGTTTTCAAAAGAGAAAACCGCAGCATTGTGGCACTGGTGTAAGAGTAAGTACGTGCACAAATGTAACAGAACAGAGAGTACAGAGAAAGAGTCCCACACATATTGGTCAAACGATCGCCAAAAAGGCCCCAAGGTGATTCAACGGGGAAAAGTGTATTCAACAAACGGTGCCAGAAGAACCGTACATTTACATGCACACAAATGAACTCAGAGCCCTACCTCACAACACTTGAAATGGTCCGAGACATGTACGGGCTACTGTAAAACCTCAGGGAAAAACATGGGACAAAATCTTTGTGACCTAGGTCAGTCAAAGATTTCTTAGATGGGGCACAAAAAGCATGTAGTCTTAAAAAAAAAAAAATTGGTAAATGAGACATTGACAAAAATCTTAAAAACTTCTGCTCTCTTAAAACATTGTTCTGAAAATGAAAAGACAACCCACAGAGTAGGTGCAAATATCTGCAAACCATATGTCTCATAAAAGACTGTATAAAGAACTGTTACAACTCAATGAGAAGACAAACGACCTGATTAAAAAGTGACAAAAGATATGAAGACACACTTCACAAAAGAAGACATACAAACTCCGCAATCCCACGCCTAGGTACACACCCAAAAGACCTGAAAGCACAGACTCAAACAGATACTCGTACATTAATGCTCACTGCAGCACTATCCACAATAGCCAAAATGTTGTGTTATGGACTGAATGGTGTCCCCCAAAAAATGTGTGTTATAATTCCTAACCTCTATGCCTGTGGTTATAAATCCCATTTGGGAATGGGTTGCCTTTGTTATGTTAACGAGACAAGATTAGTGCAGAGTGTATCTTAAGTCAACCTCTTTTGAGATATAAGAGATTAAACATAAGCTAGCATGAAGAGATGCGATAGGACAGATGCCAAGACACATGCAGATCTCCAAGAAACCAGGAAGCAGAAGCTAAAGAGACAAGGACCTTCCCCCAGAGCCCACAGAGCTGGTGCACTGAATTTGGACTTCTAGCCTCCTAAACTTTGAGAAAATAAATTTCTGTTTGTTAAGTCACCCACTTGTAGTATTTCTGTGATAGAAGCACTAGATAACTAAGACAGAATTTGGTACCAGGAGTGGGGTGCTGCTCTAACAGATACTAAAACATGGAAGAGTTTTTGGAATTGGGTAATGGTTAGAGACTGGAAAGGTTTTAAGGTGCTTAATAGTAAAAGTCTAGATTGCCTTGAAGAGACTGTTGGTGGAATTATGGACGTCAAAGGTGATTCTGATGAGGGTCTAGCAGGAAGTGAGGAGAGCTGTAGAGAAATTTTCTACTGTCTTAGGGAATACATATGGAACTAGCAACAGAATGTTGCTAGAAATGTGGATGTTAAATGTGCTTCTGACGAGGCTTTAAAAGAAAATGAACACGCGACTGGACGATGGAGGAAAGGCGATGCTTTTTATGGAGTGGCGAAGAACCTGTCTGAATTATGTTTAAACGTTTGGTGGAAGGCGGAACTTGTAAGTGATGAACCTGGATATCTGGCTGATGAGATTTCTAAGCAAGATCATAAGGGGCTGCATGGTTTCTCCTTCCCGCTTATAGTGAAATGTGAAAGAAAAGAGATGGACTTAAAAATGAACTGCGCAAAATGAAAACAGAACTGAAAGATTTGGAAAATTCTGTTATACAAACTAAGGACACGTATCCTAGAATGTTCACCAAGGATGTGGCTACACAATCTTTCATTAAAGAGATTAAGCCTGTGACTGATGAATCTAACCAACTGACACAGCAGAAAACCCTTCAGCTTAGACCAAAGGGGACAGAGAACAAACGAAAGGAAAGAATGTTGTCTGCCTCTTGGAATTCTACAGGCAGGAAACACGTCAAAGAAGCTACATCTGTTGTCCTCCAAGAAAAGAAAAGGACCATCCCTGGAGCAGCTCAGAGATAAGCAGAACTGTTGGAAGGAGCACGGGAAGCAGGGATTTCTTGGTTTCAAAGGCTGGGCCATAGTCTCCTGAATCTCAAAGGATGGGGCCACAACCTTCTAGTTTCAAAGAGTCAGATTTTTGCCAACTCAGTTCCAAAGTATGGGGCCACCACCCAAAGGTGAGTGGGGCAGGGGAGGAAGAGGGTGCTGCCATACCCAAGGCGCAGAAAAACGGGGACTGCTGGGGCTGAGGGGGTAGGGTCGCCACTCAGATGGACTAGGAGAATGGGACTGACCAAAGCTGCTGGAGCACAGTTGTCAAAACTAGAGAAAGCAGAGTTGCTGTCCCAGTGGACCTGGAAGGCAGAGCTGAAGCCCAGGGCCTAGGGGCCTCTACCCGGAATACAGAGGGTGTGGCCAACACCCAGGGTCTAGAGGGCAGGGCCATTGCCAAGATGGCCTCAGAGAAGAGAGGACTACTTTCAAGACTTGAGAGCTAATGTAAATTTTTCTGCTAGATTTGGGACTTGCTTGGTGCCTGTTACCCTTCTTTCCCTCCAATTTCTTCCAACTGTAATGGAAATGTTTGCCTGTGCCTGTTCCACCACTGTATTTTGGAAATAGATAACTTGTAATCTAGATTTCACAGGTTTACAGAAGAAGAGGAATTTTGTCCCAGGATGGAATATGACTAAAGTCTCACCTGTATCTGACTTAGATGGTTCAGAAGATGAGATCTGGACTTGGAGTTATTTAAGACTTTTGGGAAGATGTGATGGGGTAAATGTGTTTTGCATGTGGGAAGGACATGAACTTTTGGAGGCCAAAGGGTGGAATGTTATGGATTGAATTGTATCCCCGAAAAATACGTGTTGTAATTCCTAACCTCGATGCTTAAGGTTATAATCCCATTTGGGAATGGGTTGTCTTTGTTAAGTTAATGAGACAGGATTAGTGTAGGATTTATCTTGAGTCAATCTCTTTTGAGATATAAAAGAGATTAAACAAGCAAGCGAAAGAAGCAGAGATGGGGTAAGACAGGTGCCAAGACACATGGAGATCTCCAAGGAACCAGGAAGCAGAGGCTGATGAGAGAGAGTCAACAGAAAGAGAAAGCCTCCCCTTGAGCCAGTGCTCTGAATTTGGACTTCTAGCCTCCTAAACTGTGAGAAAATAAATTTCCATTTGTTAAAGCCATCCACTTGTGGTATTTCTGTTATAGCAGCACTAGATGACCAAGACAGGGGGAAAACAACCTAAACGCCCATCAACAGATGAATGGATAAACACAATGTGGTACATACATACAATGGACGACTGCTCAGCCAGTGAAAGAAAGAAAGTCTGGATACATGCTACGATATGGATAGAGCTTGAAGAAATTATGCTGAGTGAAATAAGTCAATCACAAAAGGACAAATATTATATGACCTTACCCATATAAAAAGACAAGAACAGGCAAATGCATAGAGAACAAGGTTTCTTAGTGGTTACCAGGGGCAAGGGGAGGGGTGGTGGTGGGGTATTGCTTATGGAATACTGAATTTCTTACAGTGACGGAAAAATCGCACTGATTAAGGGCAGGGCTGCACAGCCAATTAACGTAACTGCTGTCAACAAGTTGTACATCTGTAAAAAAGCTGAATTGGCAAAAGTTTGTGTGATAGATACATTTTACAACGATGACCAAAAAAAGTAGCTGCTAAGGCTGCTGACATACAACCAAACACCTAATGGAATTTAGTTCCTTAGTTTGGAGGTTTAGGGTCATGGCTTCACGGGACATTCCAATTAAGTGGCCAAATAATGAGTTCAGTGCTTCTGTTCTATCTTTTGGTTCATTGCGCAGTGCCAGGATCTTATAAGCTTTCAAGCAGCCATCAAAGACGCAACAACTGGTCTCTATTTGCCTGGAGCAACAGAAGGAGACTCAGGAATGTTGCTGTTGTTATTAGGTGGCATCAAGTCGGTTCCGACTCATAACGACCCTATGCACAACAGAACGAAACACTGCCCAGTGCTGTGACACCCTCATAATTGTAGGAATAGGAGGAATAAGAGGAGGGAATGGAATGTATGGCTAATTGCCTCCACTGAACAACTGCCTCCTTTGCCATAAGACCAGAACAACTGGATGGTGCCCAGCTACCATTACTGAACATTTTAATCAAAGATCTTATAGAATAATCCTTATCAAAAGGGGAAAAATGCAGAACAGAATTTCAAATTCTCATGGACTCCACACTGGACACACAAGGTGGTGCACCCATCCACCCCATGTAATGTTTCTCGGCAATAAACAGGAACTTACTGATAGGTGCAACAACATGGATGGCTCTCAGAACAATCATGCTGAGTCAAAGAAGCCAGAGAGGAAAGAGTACATGCTGAGAGATTCTGTTCACACAAAATACCCTCGACGAGATGTACTGACACAGTGGCTGCAACAACGGGCTCAAGCAAAACAAGGATTGTGAGGACGGCACAGGACCGAGCAGTGTTTCGTTCTGTTGTACACAGGGTTACTGTGAGTTGGAACTGACTCAGCTGCATCTGACAACAACAACATCAATCTTTAGAGACACAAAGTGGACCAGAGGTTGCCTGAGGATGGGGAGACAGTGGCTGGGGAAAGGGAAAGACTACCGGGGGCAGCAGGGGCCCAAAGAGACTTTGAGGTGTCAGAGACGTTCTCTACATTGATTGTGGTGATACACAGAGGTTAAAATGCTGCGTCCCACCTAAATTTGGGGGGATACTTTCCCTCCCTGCACTCATTTAACAAGGTTAATTCCAGAACAAGAGACTCTGGCCAAAGGGCAGGTTCATGTGGGCACTCAGACAGCCAGAGCCAGAGTCCAGAAGGTGGCATGTGAACCAGCAGCAGCTTAGGGACAGTCTGCATGGGTCCACAGAGCACTGATCCCAACATCAAAGTAGGCTTGTCTGAAGGACACCTCTTTGGATCATATGAGTATCTCTAACAAAGTCATTTCAAACTTCTAACTGTAGAACCCTCTTTTCAAAGGAAACCCTAGGCAGAATCTCAACAGATAGAAATGGACTTCCCAGCTCAGCCTCCTTTGACCACTCTCCCATCCTGGGGTCCTTGGATGCTCCATGACTTGTAGAGGGAGGCGCCATTCCACTGTGAACAAGAGCAGGGACCCAGAGCTGGCGCCTACCTAGCTCTCCACTCTGCTTCTTCTTGTTCCTCCGTCGCCTCTTCCTGGCTGGTTTGATCCACGGGCTGTCAGTCTTCCCTTTCCTTTTGAGAAACTTCTTCTTAATGCTGGATTCAGAACTCTGGAGAACCAAATGGGCAGGTATATAAAAAGCAAAGCATGGGTGGTACTTGAAAGCAGAAAGTACTAGAAGTCAGTTTTTCTGCAAAATAAAATACTTGTTACATCCTGATTCTAAAAAATTAATTTCACTTTTAGACATTTTTCTAGGTCACATTCTTAAAGGTGCCCATGCTTTTCCCTAGTAAAAAAAACATCACTGCAAGCTCAGTATTTACAGAGGCGAAAAACCCAAGAAAATTAAAATGAAATGAATAAATATTATTTGAGTTTGGCACAAAAGAAAAAAAATTAGTTCTACTCAGGAACTAAATAAATAAGCTCAGTTAGAGAATTCACTTTAATCATATGCAGCCTCCATCCATCTTGCTCATGAGAAAAGAAACAATGTCTCAATCTGCTTCAGAATCTACGTCCAAATGAATTATCTATGTGGAGAACAAAGGAAAAGGTTGTAATTAATTTAGATGGTTTCTCAGTTATCTGAATCTAAAATCCAGATGCAGAAAAGGCATGTGACTGTCGTGAATCACAAACAGATGCCCAGCGGGAAACCCAGCCCCTTCTAACATTTGCAAGGGGAAGTTCTGAGTAAAATAAGATGGGGCTCTCATCATCCCTGCTTATTATGGGTATAAAGAGAAATTTAAGAAAATTTGTTCGACTGACAAAAAATAAACACTGTTGCAGCATACAAGCTCTCCACAGAAGGCCTTTCCGATAAACTAAGATTAGTAACTGCTACAGCTCAAGCGGACTCCAATGAAATGACCCCTGGTGGCACTTCTTGCTGTCAGGAGTTATCACAAGGAAGCTTCACTGTGCCCGCTCACCTGGCCTCTCCTCACACGCCGCCTCACTGTGCCCGCCCGCCTGGCCTCTCCTCACACGCCGCCTCACTGTGCCCGCCCGCCTGGCCTCTCCTCACACGCCGCCTCACTGTGCCTGCTCACTTGGCCTCTCTCGTCACACGCTGCCTCACTGTGCCTGCTCACCTGGCCTCTCCTCACACACCGCCTCTCTGTGCCCGCTCTCCTCACACACCACCTCTCTGTGCCCGCTTGCCTGGCCTCTCCTCACCACCTTCTGTGCCCGCTCTCCTCACACACCACCTCTCTGTGCCTGCTCGCCTGGCCTCTCCTCACACGCCACCTCACTGTGCCTGCTCGCCTGCCCTCTCCTCACACGCCGCCTCTGTGCCCGCTCGCCTGGCCTCTCTCGTCACACGCCGTGTCACTGTGCCTGCTCGCCTGCCCTCTCCTCACACGCCGCCTCACTGTGCCTGCTCACCTGGCCTCTCCTCACACACCGCCTCACTGTGCCTGCTCACCTGGCCTCTCCTCACACACCGCCTCTCTGTGCCTGCTCTCCTCACACACCACCTCACTGTGCCCGCTTGCCTGGCCTCTCCTCACACCCTGCTTCACTATGCCCGCTCACCACAGCCTTACTTCACAGCACCATGCCTGACACTGTCTATGCATTCAGTCCAGCTTCACCTACACCATCCATGGAGGGCCACTTTATCATAGGCCCCTTGGCCCTGCCTTGTGCTGTCTCCTTCACCACTCCCTGAGCTGACACCGCAGGCTGCTCTCGTCTATGTGCTTTGTCTCATTTTAGGACTCCTGGCCCTAAAGGTTTTCCCACAACCCAGGGAGCAGCTCTCAGGGTCCTGAGAGTGGGTTACCAAGTCAGACTCGTCCCCATCTTCCTCCTCGTCGCCGGTGTCCGCTGACTCTGGCTCCTCCTCTGACTCGCCGTCCAGCTGACCAGGTAGCCAAGACGACAAATCAGACAGAAAACAAACACCAATTAGAGCTCTTGGTGGCAGAAGATTTGATCAAAACCAGATTTAAAAACCCTGGCTGTGAGTGCTGGAGGTGCATACAGATGGCTACACTCTGTCCACTCTCTGGGCTGAGCACATACTCCACTCTGACCACGGCCGTGGCAGAGGAGGAGGCCCCCCAGGGTGCGCCTCACAGGTGCCCTCCACCGTGAGTCTTCAGGACCTGGACAGGCCGCTCCTTTACCGCACTTGTCCCAGAGTGAGTCTGTGCTCTGGTCTGCTGGTGGCTCCCTGGGGGGCACTTCAGTCAAGCTGGTCAACTGTGCCCTCAAGATTCTACTACACGTGTGGTATAATCCAGTAAGAAAGCAACAAAACAAACCATACAGTCAAGATTTTCAGAGCACATAAAATAACATAAAATGCAAAGCCTTCAACCCGGCTGGACAACTCCTGCTGATACCTTCTGAGGTCCCCTTCCACCCAATGTTCAGGCACACCTGGGCTTGAACGGGAGAGTGCTTCATTTCTGCACAGATGAAGCCCATTACAGACACTAGTATTACTTTTTTCTAATGAACAACGTTTTGGAGTTCTTCTCTCATCAGAACAACAGAGATATCTGATTTGCCTGCTGAATTCATCTTTTCTATCCACACAGGTAATACATGCAAATATTCTCAAGACAAAGACCCTAAACACAAGTGACTCCCACTCCTGCTGCACCACCTCCCCGAGGTAGGAACGCCAGCTCTTTCCCACGCCCACGTGCGCACCGACATGCACTCCTGGTGTATGGCTCCAGGAGGGACCAGCCTGGTTCTGTGGGTGTTCTAAATGCCACAGTGGGGACCCTGGTGTTCACCAGTCCCTACAGTACTGAGGGGACCAGTGTGGCCACTTGCTGTCATACCGTGGCTGCGTGCTAGACAAGCCAAGGTCCTCCAGGACATCCAGACAGATAAGCGCTGTTTTCTACAGGGCAAACACCTAGACATGGGTTCCCAAGTCACAGGGGACGTCCCTAGAATTGTGAAGAGTGTCGCATTGACACCGCCCCCAGCAATGCTGCCAACGCCCTCAACGGAGTCGCCAGCCCTATAGTGGTAACTCCCTGTTATTGAACCTTCATGTCCCTATTACGAACGGACTGCTATTTTCTGTTTCCTGTTATATAAAATGCTGAAATTTTGCAGTCAAACCTGGTCTTTTCCTTCGTGGCTCTGGGTTTGTGCCTACACTGGAAGGACTTCCTCCCCTGGAGATTAGAAGAATCGTTTTCTGCATCTTCATCCGCAGTTCAGTACTCTGTGTGACCACTTTAAATCATGTGGTATTTCTTTATTAATAGAGCTTTGTTGAGATATAATTCACATGCCATAACATTTACCATTTTATAGTATACAACTGGGCAGTTTTAAGAATAGTATAGTTGTGCAACCATCACCATTACCAACTAATTCAAGAATGGAGCTTACTTTTGTATACACCATTAGGCAAGAGTCTACCTCTAATTTTTCCTGTAAGATTAGTCAGTTGTTCCAATACCATTCATTAAAAAGTTCACAATCCCTTGCCAACTAAGAGAAAACTGTACTCTAACCATAAACTCCATATACAAACAGATTTATATAAAATGCTATGAATCCCCCATCCCATTCATTACACTCACTTTTTATTCCTGCACATATCCAACCTCTGTTAGTTACTTCATAGCGTGTTTTGACAGTCAGCAATCCAATCTTCACTCACTGCTCTTGCTCTATAAAATCCCCTGACTCTACAGGAACCCAGACCTCCATGTAACTCTAGACATCGCAGTTCTGTAAAAAGTCCTGTTTGGATTTTGATGGGAACTATTTTGAATTTATGGATAAACTTGGGGATAACAATGGATCTTCTCATTCAGAGAAATAATGGGTCTATCCATGGACTTGCATATTTTTTAACCTCTTTCAGTAAAGTTTTACAGTTTTCCTCTTCTAGGTAAGAGACATTTTTTATTGAATTTATTCCTACATACCCTGGTAATATTAAAGAATTATAGCAAATTTTTTAGGTGTGCTATTGTGATTTTGTTTTTCAGAGTCCTTACCTTTCAAAGACACAGTCCAGGTATGGACAGAACAGGACTGCCCAAGTGCCATTAACTGCTCCCTGTGCTATTTTCCGGTAATGTTTGTATAACTTGGCTTTTCTAGTAACAAGAAGTTAAAAATATAGGTAGACATTTATTGATTTAATCTACACTTTTGTTGTACCTTTTCTAAATGGTTATTGCATCTCTACAGGAACACGAGTGAATTTTATGTCCAGATCACAGGTAAGTCCACCTCATTAGCTATAATAGGTTTTCGGTTCACATTCCTGGATTTTTAGGTAGATGATTACTTCCTCAGCAAACACTTCTCTCGAGCTCTTTTAAATATGAATGCTTCTCTCTTGTTAACAAGAACCCCAGCCCCACAGTGTTAGTGTCAGGGTGAAGTGGCAGCCCCTTTTTATTACTAGTGTTAGAAATGCTCTGTGTCATCATCAAATAGAACGTTTTGAGGAGGATTATGAACCTTTACTCAGTTCTTAGGAGTTTTCATTTCACTGGGTGGTTGTTTTATTTTAAACAAGACTCAACGATGAAACTCCCAATTAAATATGGCAGACTGACAATACAGTTAACAACACATCTTTCGGAAATTCCCGTAAGGAGATTATAAAGGAGAGAATAAGGGTTACTCAACAAAGGGTCACTTCATAACTGTACATAGGAATAAGGTATAAATTAAAAACCCCAAGGGACTTGAAAACAGAAGAAGGGCTAACAACTGACATTCAAGGGAAAACAACAGAAATGGAAGTCTGAAGCACAGTTGAATTGAGAGAGTAGCACCCTAAATGAGCCAGGAAGAGGACAAAGAAGCTGCAAGGAGGGGCTGCTTCCTAGGTGTCCTCAGCAGATGGGACAAGGACGGCAGGCACAGAGCTGCCCCCACCCAGCCTCCCACAGGCCCTGCAGATCCCTGAAACAGCAAGGACAACTGGGCACCAGCCTAGCTGCCTGCTTTCTGCTAAGGGAGAGCCCACTCCTCCCCAGAATGAGCACCTTGCCCATTGCTACTTGACAAGTCCTTGAATGGCTTAAAATTCAAAGGGGTAGACAAGTAAGAGCGATCAGCAGAATGAAAAGCCAAGTCCCCACGTGAAGACACCAGGTTAGCTGCACACATAACATGGGTACGTTTCCAGATTAAAGACTACCTGCAGAATGATTTGTAAACAAGGACATAAACTAAAAAAATCCACTGCCATCGAGTTGATTCCAACTCATAGCAACCATATAGGACAGAGTAGAACTGCCCCATAGGGATTCCAAGAAGCACCTGGTGGATTCGAACTGCTGACCTTTTGGTTAGCAGCTGAGCTCTTAAATCACCACTCCACCAGGACTCCAATGTGCCAACAACGCTCCTGAAACAAAGACATACAACCCAATAAAGAAACAGTTGCAACTTGAACAGTCACAAAAGAAGGGAACCCAATGGCAGGTAAACATATGAAAAGGTAAGGCAAATTAAAACTACAATGTAGCACACTCCCTAGAATGGCCAAATTTACACAATAACAATACCAATTTTGTCTAGGAGGTAGAACAGCTGGAACTCTCACAAACTGCTGGTAGGAATGTAGGTCAGCGAAACCACTCTAGAAAACTGACAGCATTTCCTAATGCTGACATATGACATGGCAATTCCACTACTAGGTACGTACCAGGAAAAATATATACACACATGGAAATAAATACAAATGGCAGACAAGCACACTCCACATCATTAGTCATTAGGGAAACCCAACTCAAAACCACAATGACGTATCACTTCACCCCTACTAAGATGGCTACCATCGAAACAACAGAAAACAGGCGTTAGCTAGGAGGCAGAGAAATGGGAACTCTCTTCCACTGCTGGTGGGCGTGTAAAAGGTTGTAATGTTCACTGCAGCATTATTCACAATAGCCAAAAGGTAAAAGCAACCCAAGTGCCCCTTAACAGATAAATGGATAAACACAATGTGATACATACATACAACGGGGTATTACTCTGCGAAGTGAAAGAACTGAGGTCCTGGTGGTGCAGTGGTTTAGAGCTCGGCTGTTAACCAAAAGGTCGGCAGTTCGAGTCCACCAGCTACACCTTGAAAACTCTATGGGGCACTTCTACTCTGTCTTTATGGGGTCACTATGAGTCGGGATACACTCAACAGCAATAGGTTTTTTCCTGGTAAGTGAAAGGACTAAGTCACAAAAAGACAAATATTGTATGATCCTTCTTGTATAACGTATTTAAAATAGGCAAGTGTATAGACACCAAAGTTTATTAGTGGTTATCAGGGGCAGGAGGGAGGGTCAAAAGGGAATCACTGCTTAGGGGGCACTGAGCTTCTATTAAGGGTGACAGAAAAATTTGGGAATGGATAAGGGTGATGGCTGAACATTATGAATGTCATAAATGTCACCAAGTTATATATGTAAAATATGTTGAAATGACAAACATTGTCATATGTATACTCATCACCATTTAAAAATAAAAAAAGATAAGTAGTGATTTAGGAAATAATATTGGAGTTATTATTCCCTCTCCTTGAGCATGGAGAATATGACCCAGCTGGAGCTGGGCTCACAACTGCTCACAAGGACTCACAAGGACACATCAACTGGGCCCTGAGGTGTAAAGACAGTAATTAAGATAATCTGGGAAAACATCTTTTAGGGAAACTTTCACATAAAGCTGATCAAACACAACACAAAAGACTTTCCACTTTTATCTCTTTCTATCAGCATTTAGTGAATAGGAATTTGTAGGACCAATGAAGACCCTCCAGACTCTAATTACTGAAACCTGTACCAATGATTGTTAAGAAAGACAATTCAAAATGTAGGATCACAGTTTCTAGCCAATCTGAAAAGGCTAAGCTTTCAATGG